TAGTTGGTGGGCAGGCCAGCAGGCAGAGTGGTTAGGGGTGATCAGGCAGGCAGGCAGGTGAGCAGTTAGGAGCCAGTGGTCCCAGATTACGAGAGGGATGTCTGACTGCCAGTTTAGGCCCAATCCCACAGGGGTTGGACATCCTCCAAAGGGTCCAGATTGGAGTGGGTGCAGGCTGGGCTGAGGGACACCGCCCCCCCCATGCACAAATTTCATGCACTGGGCCACTAGTCTATATATATAAAAGCCTAAGCAACCTTTACGACTGAATGACCAGAATGACTGGTCGACTGGCTATGATGTTCACTGACCACCAGGGGGCAGATGCTCAATGCAGGAGCTGCCTCCTGGTGGTCAGTGCACTCCCACAGCGGGAGCACTGCTCAGCCAGAGACCGGCTCACAGCTGGCAAGCGCAGCTATGGCAGTGGGAGCCTTGGGCAGTTGCGGGCAAGTAGGCTGGTGTGGGGGGATCAGTTGGGGGTGAGCAGGCCAGCAGGGAGAGCAGTTGGTGGTGAGCAGGCCAGCAGGCAGAGTGGTTAGGGGTGATCAGGCAGGCAGGCAGGTGAGCAGTTAGGAGCCAGTGGTCCCAGATTACGAGAGGGATGTCTGACTGCCAGTTTAGGCCCAATCCCACAGGGGTTGGACATCCTCCAAAGGGTCCAGATTGGAGTGGGTGCAGGCTGGGCTGAGGGACACCGCCCCCCCCATGCACAAATTTCATGCACTGGGCCACTAGTCTATATATATAAAAGCCTAAGCAACCTTTACGACTGAATGACCAGAATGACTGGTCGACTGGCTATGATGTTCACTGACCACCAGGGGGCAGATGCTCAATGCAGGAGCTGCCTCCTGGTGGTCAGTGCACTCCCACAGCGGGAGCACTGCTCAGCCAGAGACCGGCTCACAGCTGGCAAGCGCAGCTATGGCAGTGGGAGCCTCTCTTGCTCCTCTGCAGCACTACTGAGCAGCAGCAGCAGTGGTGGTGGTAGGCGCAGCGGGGCTGGGATGAGCAGCATTGGAGCTGTGCCTGATCCCGGCTGGGCCTCCTCCCTGGCTGCCTGCCACTTCAGCACTGCTACATCCCCCGAGGAGTCCCAGACTGTGAGAGGGTGCAGGCCAGGCTGAGGGACCCCACCTGTGTACAAATCTGCGCACTGGGCCTCTCGTAGTGATATAAAATCATAATTTGTGGGAGTTTCAAGTAAGCATATTGTTATTAAATATTAGCTTTATTTAGAAGGATTTTTTCTCATTTACTGCACTTATTTCTCTAATTCCACTGGTGATAAATGATAAGAATTAACAGGATATTTTCATTATTAATTTTATTAATTTTCATTATCCATAAAAAATTCAGTGAACCTCTCTCTGATCTCAGGTAAGTCTTAAAAGCATTTAAACTACAATATCATTATTCTGTATTATTTTTATAGTATACTAGAGGCCCAGTGCATGAAATTCGAGCACTAGTATGGTCCCTAGTGGCTGCCAGCTGCTGGCCAGGTACTACCTCCCTTCCCCAGGCAGCCTGCCACCACCACTGTTGGCCGGGGCCTCCCTCCCTTCCCCCAGTGGCCCCGCCCCCTGTTCAGACTCCCGGACAACTACTGGTCGAGGGGACAATTTATATACTACACTTTTATTATATAGAATACTGATTGCAAAGTTAACTTTAACCTCTTCAATGCACTCAATTTATATAGTACCATCCAACTGTGTCCCTCTTTAATACCTTATATATTGCCACTATTTTAATACTATAAGAGCCTTGTATCATAAAGATACTACTTGACTTCATTCTTCCTGTAGAACAGTCAAAATTCATTCATAAGAAATCTTTTAAGAATGTTCATGCTTTTACTTCTAATATTATAGTTTTTGCTGTTCTCCAGCATATACATTCTGTTCCTTATAGGCAAATTGCTTTACTAACTCCTTACTAAGTTCATTTGTATTAAATAATTCATTTGAATTAAAAGGTTCAATATTGCTAAGATGTCAAATATTTTCAACTTGATCTTTAGATCCAAACCATCCTATTCATATTCCAGCAAGATATTAACAAGCTGATACTAAAATTTATTTGAAAATCAAAAGTCCTAGGATAGCCTACACAATAATGAAGAACAAAGTTGAGGAACTATTATGACCCAATTTCAAGATTGGCTATTAAGTTACAATAATTAGGACAATGTGCAAGAATGTGAAAGAATACCCACATAGGGAGCTCAGATATAGATTCACACAAAGATAACTGAATTTTGACAAAGCTGCAAAGGCAAATCAATGTAGAGAGAATCATATTTTCAGTATGTGTATATGGAACAATTTGTCATACATATAAGAAGAGAAAAAAAAGAGAGTAGGAAGAGGAGGAGGAGGAGGAGGAGG